GGAGGAGCCAGCAGGACCTGCTCCTGCTCCCTGTCCTCTTTCCCTGCACTTTCTACTGTGTCCTCCACCTGCCCTGGGCTATGGTTCCCAGCATCTGCTTCCATGTCTTTGTGTGTGAGCTTTGGGGCCTTCTCCCTTTGGTGCATGCTGGTGGTGTGAGGTAGGAATGACCTTTCGATTCTTAAAGCTGGTGTTTTTTGCCTGCAGTGATTGTGCATACCTGTAAACTCAGCGTGTGGGAGGCTGAGGCAGGAGGATCGCCCTGAATTCGAGACTGCCAATGTAGTGAGAACCTGAAAAAAAACCTGAAAAAAACCTGAAAAAAACCTGAAAAAAAAAAGCTGGTGTTTTTAATCCATTTTTCCTTTCTCTTTTTTTTTTCTTCTGCCTCTCCTGCTTTTCTCCCCCTTCCAGGCAATGACTAATAATCGTACTTGTTATGATTATGTAATGGCAGCAGTGGCTCTTTTCCAACGCTGCCCTTTTCCAGTAGCTGCGGGGTTATCTGCAAACACAGGAAGTGAAGAAGGTGAGGACGGTGTAACGGTAGAGCCTGCGGGCTGCCCAGGAGAACAGACACCACGGGGAATTAACTGGAGCCAGGGAATTCCTGATGCTCAGGAAATACTGCACAGTCAGATTCCAAGGAGCTTGACTGGTCGCCCGGTGTGCCCCGTACAGAGTGAAGACCTGGAGTTGCTGGGATTCGCAGACAGATCCTCTGGGCATAGCGAGCTCCCTGTCTTGAGTCTCGGGGCTCACAGGATCCTGGATCAGAGCTGTGGAGAGGGGGAGCAGGCAGGGGGACTCTCACAAGTACCTGGAGCCTGTGGTCCAGGGATCTAACATGGGGCGTTTGGGGTGGCTCAGTGCAGCAGGGACTGACATCCCAGTGCCAGGGGCCTGGCAGGGCCCTGAAGGTGGGTGATCTCCTGGAGCACTTCCGGCACAGTCTGAGTGGAGGCCTTGGGTGCCATGGAGACACCGACTGTTGTGATTTCCCCCACTGAGCCCATGAGAGCACACAAAGAATGGGTCTTTGGCGGCACAGAGGAGATCTGGAACTTGGGAGCTCAGTTCCGGAAAAGCTCACACAGCCAGAATTCCAGGAAAACGCTAAGGGGAAGATGAAGAGAGGCTGCTGCGCTCCTCCCAAGCCGGCAGCTCTGCCACCATCCTCAGGGGCGGCAGGAAACCCCTGCTGCCGCTGTCACCTCTGGACCTGCTCAGAGCAGCAGGCCTTGGCCAGCAGTGGGCACAGGCAAAGGGAGGCGCTCAGAGGTACACCTCATGCCTGGGCTCCTGCAACTCTGTGGGCTGGAAACACAGGAGAGAGCTACTGAGAGCTGGGGGTGCTCACTGCAGAGCCCCAGCTCTGGGTGTGTGTGGGGGGGCTGACAGGACGCTCACTGGGTGGGGCACTGGCGAAGCCTTTTCTAAGTGGTGGCTCAAATCTGGGGGAGGCTGTAGACCTAGGGGTGAGGGCATGACACTTGTCAAGAGCCCGGGGGCAGTGTTGATGACTTTCTTGGGTAAGAACCCAGGGGACCCTGGACAGGAAAAAAGATGCAGATTTGGTGCATAGGACTGCAGGTTGGGGTTAAGGTGGGATGAGCGTGGGCATCAGTGACCCCCAATGTAAGGAGGCCCTGTGGAGGCAGAATTGCTCTAAAAGCAAAGGCCTGGTGGGATGCTTCAGGCAAGGGCCTGCCCAATTGGTGCAGGAAGGAGCTGGTGATCCAGATCCCCCGTCCCTGAGCTCTCCCCAAATGCACAGAGCGGTCCAGTACGCCAGAAGGAGAGGTGCCCGGAGCCAGGAGGAACCAAGGCGCTGTCTAAAGTGAAAGGCTAGCGGGGTGGGGTAGGGGCACAGGAACACACAGAAAGGGGACCTGGGAGCCTGGGTCATCTCCATCCTTCCCCTTGTAGGGTTCCCTCCGAAAGTCCCCAAGGAAAAGCTGTGGGCTCAGTGTCATTTACAGCGCTCCTCCCTCCCCTAGTCCTTTGGCTCAGAACCTCTTAGCTTAACAGGGAGGGGACAGGAAGTGAGGGACAGGAAGTGAGGAAGGAACAGGAAATGAGGACCACCATCTGCTCACCCCAGTGCTATTGGTCTTGGAAGTGGGGCGGGGAAGGGGGACCTGGGAGCTCTGTTCCCTGATTCATTTCTCTTCATTTTGCTCTCTGGAGTGCAGGGACCTGGACCAGGGCTTTCTCTGGTCCACGACTGAGTTCTTCTGGGGACTCCCGCCTTAAATGCTGGGAAGTTGACAGGTTGATGACCCCCATGGCTTGCGGTCCCCCAAGAGCATCAGACAGCTTCTGATATGGACTGGTAACTAGGGGAGGAAACTCTAGAATGGGCTCTGGTGGGCCAGGTCCTTTCTCACTCATCAAAGTCCTGGCACTGTGCTGGACAGCCTGCAGGTCACCGATATCCTGTGGCCAGTCTGTCCCCTCTGGGAAATGTAGCACAGGGCTCTAGGTCTGGTTTTAACCAACAAGCAACAACCATGGGAGGCCCCAGCCCCTGAAATGCCATGTGAGACTCTGTTTCCTTCCCAGGACCTGGATGATGGAGGCACCCCATAGAGTAAAGTCACCTTCCACCTTGGTCCTTGAGAGATTCCCAAGAGCAGCGCCCCAGCCAGCTTTGGACTCACAGCATGAGCCTTTCCAGCAGGAAGCTGCAGGTCTTGGGGTTGCTTAGCACAGCAGTTGAACCCAGCACACCCTGCCTGACACAGTGATGGCACACTGTGGGCGCCCAGAAGGGGCACACAGAAGGGGCGACAGAGGGCGTTTTCCCCCCACTGCTAAGGTGGTCAGGAAAGAACCTGATGCCAGAGAAGAAGTGCAAATGACCCTCAGCTATTCGGCCTGCAGAAGAGACAGTGCGCAAACCAAGTGGCTTATTAAGAAGGACGCTTGGCCTCAAGGCTGCAGAAGGGGAAGTCTGGCAAGAGGCTGAAGTGAGCAGAGGGAGGAGCTCAATCTCCAGGGGGGTGGGGGGCAGGAGCTGGCCCTGTGAGAGAGAAGGGAGGTGAGCAGTTGCGGTGTGCCGGCTGGTATTACAGCCCTGTGTCGACACAGCCCTAGATGCAGCACCTCATACTCATAGCAGGCATGGCTTTGGCTTTGGGTCCGGTGCTTGTCTGGAGCACAGGCAGACCTTAAAGGACAGCAAGGTATCTGGACCTGGGCCCAGGGCAGCTCTCTCAGAGGATGTGGAAGAGTCCGTGGGCAGCCTTTGGGCACTGCTAGTGTATCAGAAAGTGGACCCCCACCTTCCCCAGCAGGGAGACTTCAGAGAATGATTGTTGATCTTGGAGACTTAGCTGGGACTGAGCTGGGACTAGGGACTCTCTGTGCACGTGTACACAGGCCTCGGGGCACACTTCCTGTCCTGTCCTGGAACAGGTCCTGATGGCTCTTTGTTAAACATACCCTCGGAGGTGATGGTACCCACTGGATGCCCACGGAGCTCACAGGGCTTGGCTGCTTCTCCCCAGTGGGTGACCTACCTGGTGTGGCCCAAGGGACCTGTAGGGTCCTCTGTCCTTCTGTAACCATCAACTTTATATCACACACACACACACACACACACACACACACACACACACTGCAGTGCATACCTAATGCGCCCTGCAGAACTATAAATACTGTGACGTATCAAAATTCATCAAGGTTAGCAGAGTCCCTGATATTCTTCTGCTGTACCCCAAGACTGGAGAACAGTTACCTTTATAACCTACCTTGTTCCGTGGCAGACAAAACAAAGATCTGTACTACATGAAAGACCAAATGTCTCCAAGGTTGAGGAGGCCAGGAGGTGGAGGAAGATACCCCGAACACTCTGAACCTGGAATCTTCCAGAGACTTCTGTGCACCCCAAAGCTTCGTGGTGATGACCTGGCCTCTGTTTCAGACAGATCCTTGTGAAAAGAAGAAAAAAAAAAATCCACCTCTTTGATGTAACAGACATCTCCAGACGCACGGAGGCCACACACGTGGCAGGCTGTCTTCCAGCAGTACTGAGGTTCTGACCTTGACACACCATATATGTTCCAGCACAGGAGGTTTTGTCCTACCTCAGGATTCTGGGACCCAAGTCCTGCATCTCCAGCAGCTTCCAGGCTCGGGCTGAGAGGGGTGGTCCAGGGGATGCACTTGGAGACCTATAGCTCTTGAATGATCTCAGATACTAACTTAAAAATGGGAGGAGACAGAACAAAGGAGAGGAGCTTTTAAAACCTACTAAAAGGCCCCTATTCTGGGCATGGTGACACACGCCTCTAATCCCAGAACTCTGGCAGGCCAAAGCAGGAGGATCCAAAAGTCCAAGCCCCAGCTGGACAGCTTAGCAAGACCTTGTCTCAAAATTTAAAAAAAGAATGGGTAATGCAGCTCAGTAAAAACATCATAAGTTCAAATCCCTGAAGCCGCCCCCCCCAAGCCTTTAAAGTTACTTTTTCTATTAAGTTGCTTTAAGAACACATCAAGTACCAGCCTGCAGACACTATCCCAGGGAAACCAGGAGTGAATAAAACCTTGTGATTATTAACTATTCTTCAAGTGTTTGAGAAAACTTATTAACTTCAAAACAGCGTCTTAGGTTCTAAACTAGCACTTGCAGTCTAAGCATCTGCTAAAGTGTAGGCAGAGCAAAATAAATCTATATGCCTGCTTTCTAAAAGGGGTCATTTCCACGCAAGACACCTGGCTCAGGAACTGTAGATTTAACCCCTCAGCAGGTGCACTGCCGAATGCAAGGTAAATCACGCAAGCCCAGTCCGGGCCAGGACGAGGAGAGGGGCTGCTGTGGGTGGGTGGTCCGCATTGTGTGAGAAACCTGGCACCCAGCTACACGGCTCAGTAACGGCTTCCGGCCAGGTGAGACAGACAGATTGGGGATTCCCTCTCTTACGTTTCAGGACAACACTCTGCAATCCTTGGATATCTTTCCCTAAACCAAATAAAGCAGAAGCTACATACGCAAATCTGGAGGAAAACATCTGTATTAAAAGCCAAAAAGATCACAGAAATACAAGAAGAAATGCCCACCAGGCCACGTGACTTGAAAAGGCTCATAAAGTTCATTGTCAGCGGTAACAATGCACTGGTGTGAATCCTTCCCATGCCCCAATTCTTAAATTTAAAAACAGCAAACCTCAGATACAACGATGTCCAGATACAAAGCGCTTCTCTTAACGACAGCGATAGGCATTTAATATTTTTGTTTTGTGATTTTCTTTTTTTACTAAAACGTTCATTTAAAACAGTTATTCGATATATAAAACAAATACACAGGGTCTGGTCGTTTTCTGCCATGAGTCAAGGGCACGCGGCTGGGGAGGGCGGCGGGCGGGAGGAATGCGATCGAGGGAAAGGGGCCCCATTTTCTGCTGTCACCCGAGCCCCGGGTCCCACCCTGCAGTCCGTGGACTGCGTGGGCGCACACATCAGGCTTCGCGGACGCGCCAGTCCACGCGGGTGCCCCCTCCCCAGGGACAGGACGCACAGGACCACAGCACGAAGCACACCTGCGGGGTCGGCGTCCGGGGCGCAGCCGGGCGGCGCGGGGCGCGCGGCGGTCACTTGGCGGCCCCCGAGGTGACGGCGGCGGCAGCGGCGGCAGCAGCGGCGGCGGCGGCGGCGGCCGTGGCCGTGGTCCCCGCGGGCACGGGGGCGGTAGGGGCAGCGGGGGTCGCGCCCGCGGCGGTCCGGCGCTGCTCCATGCCGTTGGGCAGGAAGCCGGCGATGATGGGCACCGGCCAGATGAGGGCGGCCACGCTCCACACGACGATGACCAGGGTCATGAAGCAGGCCACCAGCGTGGACTCGATGGGCTTGCGGTTGAGCCGCCAGCCCGGCTCGCCCTGCAGCTCCTCCAGGCTGAAGTCCAGGCAGCAGAAGTGGCGCGGTTCGGCCTGCAGCCAGAGCGGCGCGGGCGTGTCGGCCGCGGGGTAGGCGGGCAGCGCGGACGACGGCGCGGCAGGGGTCGCCCCGGGGGGCGGCGCGGGCGCGGGGGCCCGGGATCGGCGGCCGCGCACCCAGCCGCAGCCCACGCACAGGCGCAGGTCCTGCTGCGCGCCGCCCGCCGCCAGCCCCAGGTGCTCGATGAGCAGTGGCGACCCCACGCGGTGGAAGGCGGCGGCGAAGAGCGCCCGGCCGTGCGCGTTGGTGGAGAAGAGCAGCAGGTCGCACTGCCAGCCGCGCGGGCGGCCCCAGCGCACGAGCAGCGAGCTCAGCATGGGCCGCTGCACGCTGATGTTGCAGGAGGGCGCCGCCGCGTCGTCCTCGGCCCTGGGCCCCGCGCGCTCGGGTGGCTCCGAGGCCGGCATGCGAGGCGCGGCGGTGGCGTCGGCCGAGGCGTTGGGGGCCGCCCCGAGCAGGCCCAGGGGCAGCGGGCAGGCGGCGGCCAGGAGCGCGGCGAGCAGGGGCAGCATGGCCTGCGGCGGGCTACGCGCTCGGGGCGGGCGGCGGCTGCATGGCGCGGATGCGGACGCGGGCAGAGGATGCGGAGAAGGAGAGGACCCCGTTCGGTGTCCGCGCCGGCCCGGGACCGCCGCGTTCTGTGCGTCCGCGCTCGCTCCTCGCTGGCTCGCGGGCGGGATTCCCCGCGCGGCTCCGCCCCTCGCGCCCCGCCCTGCCCCGCCCTGCCCTGCGCTCGGGGTGCGGGGCCTCGGACTCGAGGGCGAGAGCTGCGGGGCGGGGAACCCCGCGGGCTCGGAGCGTCCTGCGGGGAGGCTCCGCGTCACACCCGCCCGAGAGGCTCTGGCGATGTGTAGCTTAGGGCGCACCCGGACGCTCGGGCTTTAGAGAAGAGGAAACTGAGGCTGGGGGGTGTCAAGGCTACTCCCCCAATCAGAGTCGGAATTCTGCGCCACTAGCTTTGCGCCTATCTGCGACGCCTAGCTTACAGTCTCTGAATCTGGCTCGTTTTTAACATGTCTGCAACACGGTGGGCCACAGCCGGTGACTCCAGGGATCCACAGAGTCCCGGGTGGGGAACGCAGCCGCTGTGGGTCCCCGCTGGCAGTCCCCCTCGCGGGTGAGCGCGCCTCCTGCTAGGGTCCCCTGCCTGACCTACTGGGAAGCGCGGATTTTCAGATTTTATTGCCCGATTTTTAACCCATAGATGGTAGAATCCCTTTGGAATATTGGGCAGGAAGATTTGCCAGGAGTAATTTATCAAGATCAAAAGACTTTCTAGCCGGGTGTGACCGCGCAGGCCTACACTTTCAGACTCTGGCCGACTGAGACAGGAGATGCAAATGCCAGCCCAGCCTGGGCAATTTGGTGACCCAGTGGGACCCCGGCTCAAAATTTGAGAAAGTGAGAGAGAGACAGAGAGAGAGAAACAGAGAGGTAGAGAGAGAGAGAGAGAGACACGGGGTGGGGGGAGAGATGCTGGTGATACAGCTCAGTACAAAGTCATGGATTCAATTTCCAGTACCAGAAAAGAAACGGGGCGGGGCGGGGGGAGGGGACCAGTCTAGTAATTTGACCTCTTCCCCTTGAAAACAAACCTGTGTATCCCTCTAAGGGGAAGTCGCTGTACTTTGCCGCCTTTGTGCTGAGTTGCCAGGAAAGGGTGGAGGGACCAGAAACAGACTGTCCAGAGCCCCCACAGCCCGGCTGAGCTTCCCGAAAGTCTGAGGAGAATAGAAGCAAACACTGAATACATTTCAGAAAGCTTTTGTCCATTGTGCTCTAGCCATGAGTAAAAAGGGAGGCTGAGTGAGTTGCAGCCTCAAAGTAAGGTCCCTCTCGCCCCTGACCCCCGCCCCTCAGGTCGTTACTCCCACTCGGCCTTGGTTTCCCCATTGCTGGTGGAGTGTCACAGTCACCACAGCCTCGCCAGGTGCTTTGGATAACCGGTGCTTGGAATCCCGTGTCATCCTGTCCCCGAAGATGCTCACCCTGCCCAGCCTTGGTTTGTCCTGTGGACTGCCCCTGGGTCCTGAAGAAAGGGTTCATTTCCCCTGCTGGTTGTGTCTTGGTTACTTTTCTCTTGTTGTTGGGATAAAAAAAATTACTGAACACCCACCATGAAGGAAGGAAAGGTTTATTTAGCTCACTGTTTGTGGAGGTTTTGGTCCATAATCAGCTGGCTGCAAGGCAGAGTAGCATGGCACAGGGGCGACAGTTCAAGGAGGCAGCCGGCAAAAGCAAGAGCAAAAGAGGGGCACAAGCCTCTTCCCTTATATTATAAGCAGGTTACCCCCTCCCCCCGCCAGGGAGATGTCGCACTCACAGCACCTCTGTACCCTCCTCTTGCACAGGCTGAAGATATTTACAAAGGACAGACCCTGGTTCCCTGCTGAGTCATTTAAACTTCTAAACTTCTCAAGTTGTGTTAGCAGGGGCTCAGAGACTGCCTGACCTCTTTGCACAGGGAAAGCAGCTCCTGAGGGGTGAGGGCCTGGCTGGGCTGCCTTGGAGGGCCAGCAGCTCCTGCACAGCTGTCACTGCCACCTGTGTTCTCCCCACCCCCCAGTTCAAGATCCCCCAGACCCACCCACCTCGCTGTGTTCTGAGTGTAATTGTCATGCAGGTGACTGCACAGGTTCCCAGAGGGGCACACTGACAACTGGAAGTTAGAACAGCAGGAGACAAGTGAGTGGTGTCCCCCCTTTCACTGCTGATCACTGCAACAGGAAAAGTCCCTGGCACAAGCTCAGCCACTTCCAGTTGGGTTAGCTTCCTTAGCCATCACTGCTCTGTGCTCAGTGGGGTCCTGGCCAGTGGGGAGGGGTACACAGTATCCACCAAGTGGGGCTACGCGCTGGTTCCAGCTCTGCCTGAACTCCCAGCTGAGACCTGTGTGCAGGCGTTGGTTCCAGCCACCTCTGTGATCCATCTCCTGCCATCTGCCTTTCCCTCCGCCTACTCTGTTCAGGCGTCTGTTCCTGGCGTCTTGGCTGGTTCTGCACGCACTGAGCTGGTGTCTGTCTGTCTGGCCTGAGCTCTGCCCTGTGCCAACTCCTAGCAGGACATTGTCTGTTTTGTTTGTGACACGGAGCAGGGATTGAATAAACACTCAGGGAGCGAGGGAGTGAATCATCAGCCCACAGGCCAGATGTGGACAGCAGCTTGGGGGTGCAGGGGACTCAGCAGCCCTATGTTCCTTGGAGTGGGCTGAGTGCAGGCAAAGGAGACCCCCTCCTTTGCCCCAGATCCTGCAACTTTTATCCGAGGAAGGGAAGGCTTTGATGAATCTCTGTGCAGTCTCTAAAGAGGGACAGCAAATCTGTCCACATGGGGTACATTGTTAGAGAACAATAATGGAGGACTTCAAAGAAAATAATTACCAATTATGCATAGTAATTTTGTTCTCTGTTTTCTATGTCCCTCCCCGGTATTAGCTAAATTTTCCTTATATTTGCCAATTGCAGTAATAAGTTTTAAAGAAAAGATCTCTGAGTTGCTTGAATTCCCTTTATCCAGTGACCTCAGAGTGCTCAGGTACGGTCATTCATTATGTCTCTCTTATTATGTGGGTGGAATTAAGATATTATTAACACACTGTAGAGTACAAAACAAGCCAGGGCCTCGAAGGAGCTATGAAAATAGGACGGAGGAAAGAACAGAATGGGAGCCAGTGATTCTGCTGTATCAGAATCTCTGATGGAGGTCATGCTGGGTGGGTTGAGTGTAGACAGGACCAGGACTTGGGGGAAGAAAGCTGGATGTGGGTCCTATAGGAGGTCATCAGGGAGGAAGTTTGAAAGCCTTCAGGGTTGGGTCCACTAGACCCTGACTATCTCTTGCCTCTGGAATTTTTTTTTTTTTTTTTTTTTTTTTTGTCTTTTTGAAACGGGGTCTTGTTATGCAGTTCAGGCTGGCCTTGAGCTCACTTTGTAGCCTAGGCTGGTCTCGAATTTGCAATGATCCTCCTGCCTCTGCCTCTTGAGTGTTGGGATTACAGGGTTGAGCCACCATACCTGGCTCTTGCCTCTAGAATTGATTTATTGATTGATTGTCTTTTTTTTTTTGGTACCAGGGATAGAACTCATGACCTCATGCTTGCAAGCACTTATGCCGCTAAGCTAAATCCCCAACTGACTGATTGTCTTTTCGAGACAGGGTTTCACTATGTAGTTCAGGCTGGCCTTGAGCTCACAGAAATTCTCCTGCTTCAGCCTCCTGAATGCTGGGATTACACACATGCACCATCACACCTGTTTGTTGCCTCTGTTTCCAGGCAGCTCTGTCACCCTCTAGTGTCTCCACCACATCTCTGGGGTGCATGGATTTGTCCTTCCTGACCAGGGTAGTCAGAAGCACAGTCATCCCTGCAGGATTCTGGCAGCAGTGACAGCTTGCAGGATTACTTGGTAATTAATCACGGATGCCCTAGGACAAGACTACTGTTGCCATTTGAAGTTGTCACTTGGGCTTAATTCTGTCTGGGGTGTTACGTGTTTGCCCTTGGATCTCCTTGGAAGACTGGCAGGAGTCCCACTTGTGTTTCTTGTCAGGCTTGGCCTCTGATAAGAGTTGAGCAAGGACCATGGGAAGGGAAATAAGGAGCCTGTGCTGATGTGGAGAGGTGGAGGAAGCCAAAGAGAGCCAGGAGGAGGGGAGGGGAAGGCAGTACCCAGGCTCTCTGGAAGGAGAGAGGAACTCCTGGGCCTTCTGGATTGTCCTGGTGGTGGCACCTTGAGCAGATAAAAGCTGTCACTTAGACTATACTCACTATGCGCTAGACACTGAAATTCATCCTCACTGCAGTTCATAAAGAAGAGATGGCTGATAAACTCAGGCTCGGAGGAAATAAGCTATACACTTGTAATACAACGGTGGAACCCAGATTCAAATCATAGGCCCCCTCTTCCAACCAGATCCTAGCATCATGTTTACCTGTGAATACATCCAAGGATGAATCCACAGTGGGCACAGCGCCCCATGATCCAGTCATCTTGCACAAGCCCCACTTCTGAACATGAGACTTGGGAGAGATATTTTATGTTTAAACCATAACATTCTGTCCCTGGCCCCCCAAAAGGCTCATGTCCATCTCATTATGTGAAATGCACATAGTCCCGTTTAAGAGTTGCTGCTGTAATATCGCTTTCACCGTTGCCAACAAGTCCCAGTCCGAAGGCTCCTGTGAGTCTCCAGATGAACTCTTGACTTGAACCTGTGTAAAATCCAAAAACAACGTAACTACTACTGGCATATCATACTATGGGGTAAACATTCCTATTCCCAAAGGGAGGAGGATGGTATTAAAAGGGAACTGGACCAAAGGAAGACTGAAACCCAGCAGAGTGAACACATTAAATTCTGCAGTCCTGTGCCCAGCACCCATGTCAGGTTGTGGTACAATGTGAATGTCAGGGGGTGGAGCAGCCCTGCCCCTATGTCTTGCCATTTGCAGCCCACATGGCTTCTTTTAGTTCAGCTCCACTAACTGCCCATGGCTTGTCTTGGGAAATGCTTCATGTTCCTGGTGTCTCTGGCTTCCTGTGTCTCTAGTGCACCTTTGGCTTCACTCTCGCAGCTTCACACACTGCCCTCTCAGAAGCACACGCCTGGCCTCCCAACCCTTTCTTTGACATCTGGATAGAAGCTTCCTTGAGCTCACAACTCTTGCATTCTTCATGTCTAAACAACTGGGATCATGTGGATGACACCAGGGGCTGCTACCAACATGAGCAGTAGCTGGGTCCCCTTGGCCCATGGTTGCAGAGGTCTGAGAGTGCCTGTAGGCTGAACTGAGGGAAACTTTTCCCTAGGTGGCCCTGAATGAGCAGGATCCCCTGGAGCTCTC